TAGCACTTTTAACTGTTTTTACTGCTATTTTGACTGAAATATTCACTATATGTGTTCAATTTTTTCTTCTTTCTGCTCCTTTTCATTTGACCATGCTGTGTTGTGTTTTTTTTCTTTTTGACGCAACATTATTATTTGTATTGTTTTAATTGATGTTCGAATGAAATAAAGTATTAAAAAAAACAAAACATATTTGTTGGCATCAGATGGTCGACATGTTGGAACTTCCCCCCCTCAGATGTGGATAAGAAAGCTGAAAGATTGTGTTTCTTTGTGTAGGCTTCCAGCTGCGATGACACAGAGATCCCAGATGAGGTGAAGTTGATCGGCTTTGCACAGCTCAGCGTTTGCTGATGCTCTCTTCATGCTTGGAGCAGGTGAGACAGGGGAGACAGGTCAGGGCAGACAGACTGAGGAACACCCACCCCCTGCAACACCTTCCCTGAAAGCACCCGTCCTCTTCTCTCCCTCACTCCTTTTCACCTTCCCCAAGGCCGAGCTCTGCCACCTGCACCTTCTAGTCAACGTCCCAGCTCACTGTCCCCCGGCATTTAACCTAAACATTCCAACGCAGGATCAGGATACAGCCCAGGAACCAAACGACGTACTCAGGTGGAGAAAAGAGGAGAATAAATGTAGCTTTGAATGWTTTTTTGTTGTTGTTGTTTATTTATTGTTTAACATCACGTTACTGCTGTGTTCAGCAGAGTTCTCATTATTTATTAAAATGAGAAGGCATATTTATGGCCCCCCATCCTGTTTTCTTGYCACTGTGAAAACAAATGTACTTTGACTCTCATCTCACAAACCCACTCATTTGTGAAGTTTCCCTGAGGTCTGTGTCAGAATGTAAGTCTTAGTTAATTTGTGAGAAGAAGCACATTTTTTTAAGTATAAAAATATTATGAATGTCTTAAAAAGACTATAAATGGTTTTTCGTGAGTCAAGCCCTGTTTCACATGAAGAAGAATAGAAGCATTTGGGTGAGAAATAAATGAGACCTGGATGCTACTGTGTATAAATTGCTGCTCTCGACAGTGTTAATGCTTCATAAATGCTAGAGGTGCCTTGTTCATTTTTCTGTGCCTAAAGAATGTTGTCAGTGGGCGGGGCCACATTGAGGGAGGAACCCGCTCATCACCCTTTCACCCATGTATTCCTCCAGCATCGATACACTTCATGTGAACTATCTGAATGAGGTGAGCTGAAATGCACTTTTGGGCTGAGTGTGTGCAAATGCTTAACGCCCCCTCCCCCCCTCCCGGAGACGACTTTTAATTTGTGTGCTTTTTGTCGTCAAAGAAATGAATTGTAAAAGAACCTGCAGTTTCATATTCTGCTCTGGTTGATGTGCAATCAACTTCTCCACAACTGTTTCATTTTTGTTCCTGGAAAACAGTAGCTACCTGACTGTACTGTGWGACAAGAACGCACCTACAGATGGAACCAAACAGCAACTCCTCAAAAGTGTGACGAACCATTTGTTTCTCCAAAGTTCTGTAGCATTAAATTACTTTTATGTATTGAAGTGGTAAATCTTAACTTCTCTAAAATATATTATTTTCCAGAGTAATTTATTGTTTTTGATGTACATTATGTGCATTTTGACACCGTATTACCCCTTTCTTTTTCTATGTAATCAGCTAATGTCCAATTTTTGAYGAGGAGCAGCAAATAAAGCAATTATTTAAAATAAATGTGTGATATATAAATTATTTTACCACCAACGTATTTGCTTTTGCTGTAGTAGGCATGCTGTATTTTTTATTTCTTTGAATGTGTAATGATCTTGGTTGATACTCACTTTTGAACCTGCACTTTATTATTTTGGATTATGAGCAAATGCTTTGATTCAWCACATTTAGTATGCCTCTAGCTAGAACGATAAAAAGTCCATGCTTATTATGCCTATTTACAGACTTATAAATAAACAGGTTTTGTGATTTACTAGAGTCTATCAGGCTTACACACGCTTAAATAAAATTTCATTTGATCCATTTCCACATCATTCTGGTAAAAATTCTGTATTTAATCTCCTGTTTTATCTCTTTAAAGATTTATTTGACTCCAAAATGCTCAATTTTACTTGATCTGCTCTCAGAAACCCTAATGGTTGTATTTGAAAGAGCCTAAAACAGCTGTTAATTCTGCTTTATTTTTCCAACATTTAACATGTAATTATCAGGTTGCAAAAATAGGTCAACTTCTATCTTTACCTGCTTCTTCCTTTCAGGGTCACTGGTGCTCATGTCCAGCAGTCATTGTGTGGGGGGCGGGGGTGTGGGGGGGTACACCCTGGACAGGTCACAAGTCCATCACAGGGCCACACATAGAGACAGACAACCATCCACTCTTTGACTCAGGACAATTTAGAGTTATCAGTTACCCTAATAGTTATGTTTTTGGTGTGTGGGAGGAAGCCAGAGTACCCAGAGAAAACCCACACATGCACGGAGAACATGCAAACTCTACCCAGAAAGCCAGGACCAAGATTTGAACCGGCAACCTTCTTGCCGAGAGGCATCAGCTCTACCAGCTGAGCCACCAACTTGGAACTTGTTTTACTTAAATTAGGCAACTCTAGATGGGTGTTAGCAAAATGTTATGAAATAAAACATAAAACAGTTATCATGGTTTATACTAAAGAGTGTAGATTAAAAGAGCTTAATTCAGTTGTTTTCCAGATATTATAAAATTCAGTCATGGATTCAGTGCAAACAAAGCTGAATTTGTCTGAAGCTTTTTTTTTTTTACACTTAACAAATTTAAGAGTAAACACATACTGATAGGTCTAAATTGTTAGACTTCTCAATCCCCATCAGCTTTTCTATGTATGTTGCCATTACTGACCTAATTTCAGACACTTTGACTTTCAGATTTTCTATTGGAATCTTACTGGATGGGTTTTTTTTAATGACACCTTTGCAAATGTTTGTAACAGAATAAATTATGACCTTCACGCAACATTCTAATGAATGTCTTGCAGATTTGTTTGTTGCAGTTTAGTCAGAAAGTATCTTAAATTAAATTTCAACCATGTTCCAATTTGCAATTTCTTTTTCTTTTTCTTTTTTTTACCGTTGAAGTCATATTGACAAGCCCTCTTGTTAAAAACACATGCTTCAACAACACAAACCTTACTGACCCAGTTAACTTAACATGTCTTTAAAGGAAAAGTTCTATATTTTTAAGTGGTGTTCTGTGGAGTTGTTAATATTTTACCTGCAGTAGGAATCACTGTGTTTTCAGTTTAAAATGCCAGGCAGAAGTTGTAGCTGTAGGGAGGTCAGTTTCAAAGCAGATTTCTGCTGTCGTAAAATAACAAAACAATAAAACAATACCTGCAGGCTCTATTTTATACATTTTTACATTACATCGTTTTGTATTATGTGGTTGTTTACACTGAAGACCATGTCTGTGGTTTGTTACTAATAACAATATGAAACTTGCGTTGTGTAACCAAATATGCCAGCTGYCAGCATCTTAACAACCCGTCACAATACCAAACCCTCAACAAACCCACATCTCTCTGCAGAACAAGGAAAGGAAGGCAACAAGTGAAAGCAGCAATTTCATTTTAATTATTCAAGTATTTGCTTTTTTATATATAAAAACATACAATATATAACAACAACCCAGTGTGGGATAGATGCTTTCACAGTAAATGTCACATTAGCTTATAAGACTACAAAACCTCAAGGAAAAGGGGGGAAAAAGTGTATTTTGACCAACGAAGCCACATTTTCTTAGAAACGACTAAACTTTGTTATTCATACAGTGAGTGCACTTCTGTAGCCAATGATATGCCAAATTCATGTAACAATACATCCTGTCTGTAATGATCTCAGCTAGACATGAAGAAACTCACACGACGATTCTTTTTTTATTCTTGCTGCTTGGAGGAGTTGATGAGCTGAAACAGCTGCTGATTTACAACACATGAGCAGCAGCTACAATAATGAGAGGCTGGTAGCTGAGATGCATAATTACCCCGGCATGAAAATGTCAAAGTAGAAAAACAAGGAAATGCATCTAAAATCCAAAACATACACATAACTTGTTTCAGAGAGAAAAAGGCAGTGATGATGGCTGTATGTAAACAGAAAATATCAGGCAAATTCATATTTAAAAAGCAGCAAGTCATATAAATTCTAATTTAGAAAGTGCTCAGATTATATTAAACGATCACTTAAGCCATCTTGGTGTTGGACATTTAGAATAAACTGAACTGCAGTGTAGTTTTATTCTCATTAAACAGATAGAGGAGAAAGAAGCACAAGTGCACATGACAGTGAAATGGTCTACAGAGTTACATTTAATTTGCCTTTGTTCTGAAACGCTTTGACACTATACTTTTAATTATGTTCTAATAAACAAGTCTTATTGTGATCCAATTCTTTATTGATTTCCTCACATTTTATCTTTTGCCTCCAGGAGGGTAAMGTTTCTGGGTCAACAGCTGTGAATCTAATAGAGATTCTTGCTCAAGGACACTTATATCAAAGAGGGAAACAGGTTGTGAGTGTGCCAGGGCTTTAAATGGACAGGTGGTTTTTATTGAYTGGAAGTGGGGTTGTGTGGCACGCTGACAAGCAGTTAGGGTCTTACCTGCAGTAGACAGCTGTCAGAGGGATTTCAGTTTGAAGAACCAGAGAATGGAACTGACAGGACTCATTCAGGAGCACATTTCTACCATATAAAACAACTAAAAYTCAAACACCATTATCTATTGTCTATTTTTAATATGGAGTCACTTAGATGTTTTTATTTTTATTTTTTATTTTTTGCTAGAACAAGGATTGTGCTGCTACGCTAACAGTAGTGAATTTGTRTTAAAAGGCCCGCCCCGGCCCCAGTCAGCCTAGCCTTATTATCCCCAGGCCCTKGTTGTGTTTGCATTGAGCAGAGTGCYKCCTCTGTGTGTGGGATCATGATAAACACGTGCAAATCTTATTTTGTTTTATTTGCCACACAACAATAATGGACTATACCAAACTTGATGGAAAAGTACTGAAGCTGTACCAGACCCTGCAGYGGTATGACGTTTAAGATGAGAGGGCAGGACAACAGAGGATGGTAAGCTAATCATAGCTATTGTTAGCTTGTTGTGTTTGGTAGCTTGCTAAAGTTGTTTAGTTAAACCCGTAAATGTTACGGCCGCTGCAAATGGTTCATGTGAAATTACTCTCATCTATGTGACGTGATGCCCCCTGTCAATCAATGAGCAACAGTAGCTGATGTCAAATCAGGCCAGACAGGCTGGCCCGCATAGAACCACAGGTCTTGAGGTTTCAGAAATCTAGGTGGAACTGKGCCGTAGGGCTTATGAAAACATGCACAGCCCATGTTTGAAGCCAGGCTGGCCCTGGTCTTGCTGTGCAAAAAGGCCTTATGTTTTCAGAGGCAGCTAAACCTTCTATTGATCAGCTGAGTCTGCCAAGAGTTGTTATGTCTTTTATATAGTTTGGCTCATACAGATCCTATTTCCCCTGAACAACATATGTTATATTTTTTATAACTATTTGGGTTTACTGACTACATTGGTTTTGATATACAGTATAAACAGTTGATCTACAACTGAAGAAACTGAACATCTGTGAACACATTGCACACAGGAACACAARTATTGTTCAGTTGAATAAATAATGAATCTGTCTCATCCAAAAGAAACATGGTGTAAAAATAACTATTACAGAGTTTGTTCCAGCGGCTAGGAACATTTCWGAGTTTCATTCGTTTTAGATAGCACAAATTATCTAATGAATGGTCCCTTTAAGTACTYTTAGCTTAAAATACCCCCATGAGCGTTTCTCCCTGATCCTCCAAATCGATGCCACTCTAACTGCTGTCTACTGGAGGTGAAAAAAAAACCTGACTATTCAGAAGTACTCCATTCAACCCCTTTTCATTAAAACCAAAATATCCCTTTCACTGCTGTTTCTGAACAATTCGTGGTCTATACTGGCAGGCCACAATCAGGCTTATAATCTTAATTCTTAAAAAAGATGCAAGATTTTTAATCTTAGACTGAAAACAACTTCAAGTCACAACCCAGCACTTAAGTACGAATGATAATATGCACCTTACAAGCCTTCATGTGGTTGAATAAAATGAGTAAATGTGTAATCAAACAGAGACCTGCAGAAGCCCTCACAGTTTTTACATCATTCACTGTGGCAATATTAAAAAAAAAAATACAACGGCGAAATGAAGGCAGTTAAAAAAATGTATCAAAGATGTTGATACACACATCCCCTAACATCGGAGGTGCTTCTTGCTGGACATGTCATTCCAAATGCGGTGCATCTCCTCTGGGGAGATCTGGTGGACGGTGATAACCCGTCGGTACCTGCAGAGACTGTAAGCCATTTTCCAATGATTAAAACCACTGTTCTGATAAGGGTGTATGCCCAGCTTACGCAAACACAATCCCACATACACATCCTCCAAATGTAACAGTCTTGTGTGTAACGAAGTCTTGTAGATGAGCTCGGCAACGTCTGCCGAGAACACGTAGCCAGTGCCCGAGCAGAAAGGTGGGTATTTACTTTCAGGATACACATCTCTGGGCATGTACCACTTGCTACGCATATCCCTGATGGGACCACCATTTATCACATAGCCAGTAAAGTACCTTCTCCTTGGCTTGGTGCTGGGCTTTAGAAGCTTATAGATAAGATTGTCCATGTTGACAAAGATATCGCTGTCCGTCTTCATGACATACTGCGCCTTTGGGCAAAATGTCGCCACCCAGCGCAGGCCCATCATGGTCTTTAGGGTAAGATTATGGTACGAATCAATAAAATTCTCCACAACAATATCGTGAAAGATCTGACTCTCTTGCTCCACCATCTGGTTCAGCACTGCGTCCGTGTTCCAGCCCAGAAGGAAAACGGTAAGAATGCGAATGTCGCTGAAGGTGTTCTCATCCCCCCAGGTCTCTCGGATGGCCTGGCGTGCATCAAACTCCTTGTGTGTGGTGCTGATGAGGATAACCAGGAAGGGAGCGGCACTCTCGCACTTTTTCGGCTCGTTGATGATAAATTCGAAGGCGTGGGGGTTAAGCGGGCGGGTGCGGATGTTGGTGAACGTGATGTTTTTGGGAGGTTTCACGATCCTCCGTTTAGGCACGGCCATGTGACCGACATATGTGGACGTTGGGCGAGAGATGCTCAGATACCACAGAGCGCTCGCCCAGCAGACCACCGTCAGCAAGTATAAACATGATACTTTTGAAGGCATTATGCTGCTCTTAGGTGAATTTTGATGAGCTGGATCTTATAAGGTTTTCTTYCCATTAGTGATGTTCCACTCTGCGAGGCAGCATTAAGCTGCTCCAGCATACGGTTTGACATTAATTGTCAATAATGTATTACTTTGGAGAGAAGGAATGCTGCTTGCAATCTAATGCAGAGCACTTTAAAACTGCATGAATGTCCAGATTTTTGGTAATCCTCTTGCATCTCCATTCATATCTGAAAGAAGGAAACAGAAAAACAGCACGTCAGTATATATACATATAAATCTATGGCTCTAAAAATATAACCTTTTGTATGAATAAATCATGATTTTTTATTTAAATCTAAAGAATTCAGCAGAAGATATTCAAATGTGCTTAAATCCACAGTGGAGACTTTCAGCAACAAGTCATACAAATGGCAAAATTATAACTCAAATATCACATAACATTTACACAGTGTTTTTTCCCAATTACTTCAAATTATTGTAAATCAGGTTTAAAGTGAATTTTGTATTTCAAATGACTCTAATAGGAGGATGAATAAATCATTAATGAAGGTGAAAAAAGGGACTTACTATCAAACACAAGTTTATTATTTAAAGCGGAAATGTCTCTAATTTGACCCACAAAATAAATACTATTTCTATTTTACTCCTCATTAAATTTCCTATGTAAAATATTCAAAAAGGTGACAAAGAAGTCATAAATCTTGTTACCAGAGGAGAATATTGTGACTGACTGCATTACAGATCATCTGTCATAACTTAAAGCAGCATTTTTATCACTCACTACAGAATTCTTGTTTACAAGGATAAATAAATTATTTCAAAACACTGTATAAACCTGTTTTATAGGGTGGTACAAAGACAACACAAAGCCACAACAAACCCCTATTCAGTGATTCTCTTTTTTTTCTAAGCCTCATCACTTTCTGACTAGAACATATCTTTCACGTATCCCGTGTGACCACCGAAATATCAGTGGTCGTGTTTTGTCTGAAAAACTACACTTTTCATCTAGATCATGTTTCTAAGCCTTTGAAGCTTTCTGTTCTTTTTGTTTTCAGCCAAAGAAAAATCACACAATGCACTTTACAGCTGAGTGAATGCAAAGCAATAAAATTCTGCGTGTTTATCTTCAAAGCCAGAGAGCAGCAAAAGCTAGTCTGACCAGACAAACGTAGCCATAATGACATAATTTGTCTTCCATTTAACAATAGAGAGTAATTACCTTATACAAAAAGGACTCTGTCGCAGCAAAAGACATGTCATTAACTACAAAGAGCACAAACAAACGTTGAAAACAATTATAATTTTCTTTAATGAATTTGACTTCTTACATGAGTCACTGCTGGGCCTTTTCAGTGAAAATACATTTTCATATTTACATTGTTCTAACATTGAGACTTAGGCGCAAATGTTACTTTTCCGTTTCCCTGAAATCTAATTTTACAAGATTTAGAAGAGCAAATAGTTTCTCTCATTTATCACTATTTACTCAAGAACAAGACAAAATGATGGAGAAAAATAAGCACAAAAAAGCCAGAAACATGGTTAAAATGGTCTACACTTACAATTTTTTTCCACCTTTGGTAAGGTATATAAAAAAAACTACATCTTTCTTTCTTTTCCTTACACACTCATGCAGCGTTTTCTATTATTGTGTATACTTTGCATTACACTCTTTCTGAAAAAAATATGCACAACCATACTGGACCCAACCACTGACATCTACTTAGAAGAAATATATTCTAACCCTTTAACAAAGGAAACCATAAAATATAGAATTCAACAGAGACGAAACACACGTTTGTGGGGTTGATATCACAAAATACATTAACCTACACTACATAAATACATGTTTATGAACTGATGGGGATACATTTGGGGATTGCTTTATGGCCCATGGAAGCAATCCTTCATTCTTTGGGAAAAGTTATTCCTTTAAAAGCAACTATTTCTTAATGAGCTTAGTATGTAGAGTAAAAAAAAAAACTGTAAAATAAACGACTTGTGTGTTTCACAATTATGGGGAAATCTATACTAAAATGGTATGGGGAGATTTGTTGGTACCGTAGAAGTGACTATTAATCTTTACATTATAGTCATGTTTCAAATTAAGTGTTTGACCTTAATTAGTATCACAGGAGCCCTTCAAGCTGTACATCAATCATTCAGCCTGTTTAAGGGAAACAATCACCCACTGGACAGTTTGGTATGGATGTGTGACAACACATCGAGGAGCAGAGACAATGAAGGCRAGAGCTGTCTGAGGAGCTCAGAGAGACGTTTAGAGATAAACATGTTACAGGTTAYTAGACCATCTCCAAACAGCTTCATGTTTCTGTCACCACATTTGCCAATATTACTAAAAAAGTACAAGGTTCTGGATTTTGGCTAACCTCCCAGGATATGGATGCAAGAGACAATGCAGCCCCACAGAATGAGACAACTATTGTGGATGGCACAAAACAAACAAAAAAAAAACATTCAAGCTGAACTCCAAGGTCAAGGTACATCTCTTTCTGATATACCATTTGTCACATTTTGAATCATAATGGGCTCTATGGAAGAAGACCCAGGAGGGCACAGTTCATTTTTGAGCATTGTAAAACTATTAAACCTGAAAGACTGAATTCACAATATGTTTTTGCTTAATATGCATAACTTCAGGAAAATAATCATTTATTGTTGATCAATGTAAGTCCTGCAGTATGTTTTAGCGGTGACACATTACCTAAAATAGACAAATTAACTGAGATTGATGGTGAGCATTGCATTGGTAGATTAAAAAAAACAAAAGACCTGTTTGTCAAATTCAGTGGCAACATCAAGTGATGACATGTATCAGTTTATTTTTTGAAAAAGATGAACAAACTGTAGAAAGATAAATAATGGAAATGTAAGTCACAAAGTGGTGCTAAGGCTGATAACAGGCTAATCCTATTTTTAATGAATCCAGAGGCAATTAAAAGCTTCCTGCTCTGCTGTGGCTTCACTGAGCAACAGTTTCTAAATTAATGTTTGACTTCAGGTATGAACAGAGGTAATTAGGATCTACACAAAAACTGCCAGTCACTGCGATTGAGGGATTTTAAACTGAATAACAACATAAAATGAAACAAAATAATGTGAGCATGCTTGTAGAACAGCAAAATAAATAAATAAATAAATAAATAAATAAATAAATAAATAAATAAAAATCAATTAATAAAAAAGTGGTGCTAACAGGCTAACAATGTTAGACTAGTTACTGTGCTAAATCATTGTCCCAATTTCTGAAACATTTACATTTATGACAGTTTTCTTTGTTTTTCATATCAGTTGTCTATGGTGGCCTTTAGACTTAAATTGACAAAAAATAAAAACATAATAAAATAAAATAAAATGGCTGTGAATGTACAATAATTAGTATTTTTGTGAGTTTTATTAAAATTTGCCCAAGGGTTCTTGACATAATTTGCAAACAGACAGGCACACAAACACACCCACGCACAAGCAAAAAGTATTTACCTTGGTAATTCACTATTTTTGATTATTAAAAACAGGCTTTTTTGCTACGTTTTTGTTTYTATTACCAGTGAATGTGTCAGAGCCCAGCTGGAACTGCCCAGTAACCTAGTAACTGTTGTTTTCTGACGAGACATTTTGATTAGGAGCCTTTTCAGGTTAAACCTTTTTGGCCACATCAAAGGCTTTGGACTGCATTTTGACACAGCTGTTCTGAGTTGTGTTTGGATTAGAACTGAGCCGAGCCTGCATGCAGCCTCCCCGACCTTTGCAGGGCCATTATTCCAATCAGTCTCACTTWGATACAAGGATGTCACACTGAGTGTCAGGCATAAAATCCTCCACTCTGTGAAACAAAGACTGGAAAAAGAGATTGGCAAACATAATAGTAAGGTATACTGTATATATACACGGTGCATGTTATGAGCACTGGACCTCAAGGTCATAAAACTCAGCAAAGAAGCATGACATGGAGGGGGTATGAAAGAGGGGAATAATTAGCCTGTACTACCAATAGAGACCTCATTTATCATGATTTATTAGATGGCAAGAGGTAAACTTGTATGGGGAGCGGGGCACAAAGACAGCCATTCATCARTGCTTGACATTTCCTTCTTCAAGCCTCTGGGTTGACTGTTTGGTGAACTGGATTCTGAAAAACGAAGGCTATTACACATTCCTCTCCATGCATCAAAAATATATTTTGATTCATGGCTTTATAAGCATCTGCAGTCAGGTTTCTAAAGTGTTTTCCAATAACATTGTCCCAAGGCTAACAGATTGCCAGATGGAGATGTGGAAATCTCAAGTATTAGATAGACGGTGCCTGAAAATATAAATGGATTATCTTGGCTTTAACTTGTAAACAGAAAATTGCTATTTTTAATGATGCGGCCCACCGACTGCAAAACGTACAAAACAAGTTCTGTGTATTTTTGTTAAATATTCAGTAATATTGAAATGGATTTTGAAGGCTGGATTTGGCCCTTTTGGTAACCTGGTCATTGTGTCAGTATGAATAGTTGCAAATACTGAAATTAAACAGAAAATGYAAGAATGCTAGCAGGACAACTTAATGAGCTGGTGGGTGAAAAATAATAATGTTGCCACTATGAAACAAAAAATCTTAAATCCTTTTAATCAGCAGTCAATTTGGACTGTTTTTTGAAAGAAAAACTAAAAACTAAAAACTAAAAGTTAATTATGTTTTGCAAAATGCTTGACAAAATAAAGGTTTTTATTCCAACAGGCAAAATGTAGGGTTGGATCCCACTGGGCTGCATTTGTCTCCACAATACCTTGAATTGTTTGTGAGGGTTCTCATGTTTCTTGAGTGAGTTGCAAACATGTTTTGTTGCTTGAATTTTGAACATAAAAATTTGTTCAACAATTGTTTTTGAAGTAGTTGTATATTTGTGTTGAGGGTGTCTACAACCAATATGAGAGATCTCCGCTGACAGAAAACATCAGACTGATGTACGTCGAAAAATCTCACCAATGACAAAAAAAAAAGCTGAAAAACTGTATGAAAATATGTTTCTATTTATTCTAAAAGTGTACTCCATTAGATTAAATTTAACTTTAATGTCCGGACAATTTGGTTCACAGTTGACAGCAGAACATAAAACATTATAAAACACCCCCAAAACCCCCCCAGTAAATTTATGTATTATCATTTAAAAAGCTCATACAAGATGAAATAAAAGACTTCCTGAATCAGTTTGTT